GAAGCGAATAATATACCTGACTTATACACGAAGATAAAATTAATGCATTTTTGTCGATAAAAAAGTTGTCCTCCATGTGATGCGTTTTTTTCGCATCCAACATTCGATGCGATAAAGACGCATCACATGCAGGATAGATTTTTTCACGAGAAAAATGCATCGAACTGAGACACTGAATTTTCTGTGTGGCAGACTTCATTTCTCGCTTCAACGTCCTCGTGATCAATAGGCGCGGTAGAGCCCAATACCTTTCATAACCCTTTCAGACCTGAATTAAGGCTGCTATTGGAATAAAATCCTTTTCTGAATTTTGAGCTCTTTCGTGATTGTAATTGAAATTTTCATGTTTCATGTGTAATTTTTATATTTTATACCTAGTTCTGCCATAAATATTGTTACAAGATTTACATGTTCCTTGCATTCTAGCGAAAGAAGCTAGAAACTTGCAACCTAGTAATCGTGCAGTGTATTATCTGCCGTATTGGTTGGTAGCATTTTGGCTGCTGTGTTGCGTGCAGTAAACATGGAGTGGGGTGACTAAGAGATTCGCATAGCAGTGATTGCCCTGCACAAAGTGGGTCAGAAACCTGCAATCATATCAAGACTTTGCAGCCACTTGGAATTATTCGGCAGTTTTTTTTATACCGAACTATCAAACGTTACTATGATACTCAGGGAATACGAGACCGCCCTAGATCTGGACGTCCACCCACTGCCAGAACACCACGAGTCATCAAAGAAGTTAGCAACAGGATTCAGCGAAATCCTCTATGCAAGCAGAAAGTGATGGCCAGGGAAAAGGCCATCTCGACTATAAGCACGTATCAGTTGATTAAATCAGACATAAGGATGGGTGTTATTTTTACCTCGAATGTACTACTATCACGAACGCAATAAAACAAAGAACCGAGAAAAACCGAACCGCCAAAAAGTGGAATGACACTTTTTTGCCCAGATGTTCATATGTAAGCAAAAGGAGGGGTTCATAACTCCAGATTAGGCGCAATACTTATGAGATAGTGCAGGACATCTCTGCTTTCATAGTCTTCAGGAACTTAGAGAAATGGCGTAGGAGTATTCCCGGTCTGGGAGTGCAAGTTTTTTTTTTCCATCTTCTGTTGCATTGGGGGTTTTTGTCCCCTTCGACGTTTCGTGTCATTCGCCTTTAAGTTACATTCCCCGTTTCAGTTCCTTCAAGGTTTCAATATTCGGGGATTCGTTGTAGACCGGAAGAATTGAGCATATATTTCGCATGCATTCATGCATATACATTCGTTCTTTCCATTTTCGATCATATCAGTTTTTGCTGAAATCTTTCATGCAATTTATCATGTCCGAAAACTCAGAAGTGTAAAATTTTCCCCCATGAGATCCATAGGTCAGTTGCTACAGGGCGGTCGAAATGTAGGGTCACCTAACCTCCGATTTTGATCTCACTGTAACTAAGAAAGGATTCGTACTAGAACTTTGACTAAAGGGTTGATTAAGTGGAAATTGACAGAATATTTCAAATTGTGTATTAAGACATCACTTGAATAGAAAAACCTCAAGGTTATTTATGGACAAAAAATTTGACATTTGAAATGAACATGAAACCCAAAAAATTAAAATCTCAAAAAAGAAAACCATGAAAAGATCAGTGACTGTTTCTGGTATATAAAATCACACATAGGTAATATTTTTTGTATTTGTCAATAAATTTTTGGATAAGAAGATCCCAAGATTCATGCACAAGTAATCGAAATCCTAGTTGCGTGTGTGATTGGGATTTCGGTGCAAAATTGTATGCATGATGACTTTTCAGAGATATGAAAGCATACCGAATTGCATCGCTCTAGCCCAAATAGTTCAGAAGATACTGAGCCCCAAATGTTCGCTCCCAAGGGGACCCCAAAGGTCACCCCAAAGGTCAGACGGCTATCTTTTGCCCACCTTGAGCCCAGAAAAGAAATTTTGGCCTCAAATGAATGCTAAAACTAAATTTAATCTAATTTTGCATGTTTTCGCTTTCCGTACTTAACCTTGTTTCTTAGCAAATATGATACGAATTTTCTTTATTTTTTTAATAAAAAAGTGGGAATAACTGTAAGTCAGTGAGCTCCTGTTACGTTAAAATTGAACTGAGCATGAACCTCCAAAAATCATTGTCTTTAGAAAAAACCATGAACATGTCAATGACACTCCTACTTATATACGAGGTGTGGCTATTATGTTTCCAGACTGGTTTGATTGCTCAAGTTTGAGAGAGAGGGGGGGGGGAGTAGGGCTATTATTGTAAAATGGGGGAGAGCCTTAGCTAATAACTGGGCAAGTTTCAGTGTGGTCTGACCAGCACGCTACGAGCTGCGGCCGTTAAGGTAGACCGTATTTTGTGTGCGCTGGTGGATTTGAAATGGAGCGTAATCTCAAGCAGAGAACTAATGTCACATTTTGGCCAAACAATCAACCAGGTGTTGTACATGAACGTTTTGGAGAGTTTCCGTGAGGCTGTGAGGAGAAGCGGGGATTTGTGAAAGGAGAACTCGTGGATCCTGCACCACGATAACGCGTCGGCTCACACAGCGCTGTCTGCCCGGGAGTTTTTGGTCACCAAACGGATCACTGAAATGGATCACCCGCTGTATCCGCCCGATTTAGCCCCCACAGGCTTTTGCTTGTTTTCCAAACTCAAAAATGTTATTGAAAGGCCACCGATTTCAAAGCATTAAAGACTTTCGAACAATTGTGACGCAGGCTCTGAAAGACATCCCGAAAGAAGACTTCCACCGCTGTTTCCAGCAATTGCAGCATCGTTGGGATAAGTGTATCAGTTCTGGAAGGGAGTACTTTGAAGGCGATGAATGTGATTAATTTGTAAGGTTTGAAATGAATTTTTAAAAAATAAAAGTCTGGAAACTTAATAGCCACACCTCGTACAACATTATAGAGAAGTAATATTTTTTTATATTCCGTCAATAATTTATTGAGTCATAAGATCCCTGCCACATATGAGGCATAATGACTCAAGAAATCGAAATCGTGGTTGCGAGAGCGAATGTGACTTCGTTGCAAAAATGTATTTAGAACGACCTCCCTGAGATATATAGGCATTCCAAATTTCAGAGCTCTAGCTAAATCTGTTTAGAAGATTTTGAACCCCAAAGGTTGTCCTCCGTGGAAAAAGTCACCTGAAAGGTCAAACGGCTACCTCAGGTCTTAATTGCGATAGAACAGAGTTCGACGCCGGACATGTCTTTCAAAAAGTATAGGTGAACATCGTGACTCAATTTCTAGAGTTCAGGTTATTATAAAATGTAAAAATCTAGAGGAAGTGATTTGAAGACTGCATGGTACTAAATCCTAAACGATGCATAATTATTAGATTGTCGCCTTAGCGGTTTTGAACCATTAGTCGAATACACCTGACGATATTGGTTTGCACTCCAACAGATGTGGAATGCTGCCACTACCTCCCAGGAACTTGAATCTGTGACACAATTGAATTCTGGCATTAGGGGATTAAATCACATGCCAAGGTTTTTATTATTGGAGGGTCTTTCTCGACAAGTGGAAATATGCATGGAATTCTAAGTTATTATTGGTATAACTAATACATTTTACTCAGGCGTCTATCTCCTATGAAAGTGAAGTTCTGGTTCTAATTCTCTCATGCTTGAAACGTTTTGGGATGAATGAACTACATCCGTTCACTGGTGTCTGTCAGCGTACGCCTGGTTCTCACCAGGATTCCGATACTTAGGAACTTTGAAAATATAATTTGATTTTGGCAATTTTGGGGGTTCATGCTAACTTCAATTTTAACTTAGCAGGAGCTATTTGCCATTTGGAGCTATTTATTTTCGTATTTATTCACACTCATAGTTGCTTTAAAAAACGGTCAACTACGGAAATCGAAAACCTGTAAAATCTAATAAAGCTCAGCTTTTATTTGAAGCCGAACATTTTTTCCTGGCTCAACGAGGGCCAAAGGTAGCCGTCTGACCTTTGGGGTGACTTTTCCCCTTGGGAGCAAACATTTGGGGCTCAGTATCTTCTGAACTATAGATATTTGGGCTAGAGCGATGCAATTCGGTTTGCCTTCATATCTCTGAAAAGTCATCATGCATGCCATTTTGCACCGAAATCCCAATCACACACGCAACTAGGATTTCGATTACTTGTGCATGAATTCATAGTTGGGATCTTCTTATCCAAAAATTTATTGACAAATGCAAAAAATATAACCTATATTTTATATACCAGAAGCAGAGGCATTGATCTTTCCATGGTTTTCTTTTTTGAGATTTTAATTTTTTGGGTTTCATGTTCATTTCAAATGTCAATTTTTTTGTCCATAAATAACCTTGTGGTTTTTCTATTCAAGTGATGTCTTAATACAAAATTTGAAATATTGTCAATTTCCACTTAATCAACCCTTTAGTCAAAGTTCTAGTACGAATCCCTTCTTAGTTACCGTGATATCAAAATCGGAGGTTAGGTGACCCTACATTTCGACCGCCCTGTAGCATCTGACCTATGGACCTTATGGGGGAAAATTTTACACTTCTGAGTTTTCGGACATGATAAATTGCATGAAAATTTTCAGCAAAATCTGAGCTGGGCGGATGTTGGTTGATTCGTCATGGAATCACCCGCCTCGGAAATTGCCTGAGAATCCATGAGTCATGCATTATTAGCATCGGCATTACCTTCTTGTGTTTTCAGGTATTTCTAATCTAATTTTATTTTTCAGTGGAAGCACCTGCTTCTACTGTTTGTAGGAAATAAAACTTAACGTAGCTATTTCCGAAAGGTTATGCACCAATACATACGTGGAAGTGCGTCTTTCTCTTTCTTTCACATAGAAATTATTATTTCAAAACTGTCATTATGAATTCCTCAATTTACGCGGTCCTCCGAGAAATAATCGTTGAAAGAAAAATCATATGTGTGTACCCATAGCTCTCCATGTTTAGGTATACTATCACACGAATCTCTGCTGGAATATTATAGAAATGCGGTCCCATTGAAATATGTAACCTAATGCACTCACTGCATTCACTGTTCTCCACCACGTATCCATCCCTGCACTGGCAGACGTAAATGTCCTGTTCGAAGTGCGAGAGGGCACACTCGGAAAAGTTAAGTGTGCACGATTGCAACTCAAAATCGCATTCATCTCCCAAATCTTGACCTACGGAAAACCAACCCAAGCATTACTCATTTCCATTACCCCCACTCCGGACTCAACGTCACACTTAGACCAAGCTCACTCAGGGAGATGGAAGTCCAATAGAATGCGTCGAGGACGAGGAAGAAGGCAGCTCTCATCTTTAGTGCTGTCAGTGTGAAGACAGTATCATCTGGAAAACAGCGTGGAGACACGGTTCGTGGAGGAAATCCCGCAAGTGATTTCCTCCGTGAGCCACCGCTCATGAATCATTGCGTCGAACTAGAAGCGTCATAGGCACTCTAGTATGAGATAATGCCGACACACTGCCATGTTCGGGGGCTACGCATGCTTTTATCATAAGCCTCCTGGTTAATGAAAATGTATGGTAGTGTAATGGATGGTAAATGAAAGCTAAGAGGACGTGAACCAAACCTAGATGAGGTATCGTGGGCACAATTGCTTTTCGAGTTAACATTTGGGATTTGGGACTTTGAGTGGATCCAGGATCTCCAAAAGAGTAACCTTCCTCTTCCCCAGCATCATATGATGCCTCATTCTACATGAGGTCCTCAAAGGCGATGTTGAAAAATACTTTGAAACATTATCCTTTCTTGAAATACGACATTTTCTACACACCACAAAGAAAATCTGAGGCAACTTGCTTTGTACCAATTGCGTGAATAATGATATTGATAATGATGCTTTTATTTTCTCAGATTCAGGTCGTCAGGAGAACCTAATCAGATCATATTTTGCTTGATTTTTTTCGTAAACTGCGAGAGAGTGGATGGGTTGCCCAGAACGGACACAGTATATCATTGATGTGGGACAACGTGATAGGATAAAGAAGAATTTAACTCTTGAGGCAGAAAGTATTGAGGGAGCGAATTGGACACAGCAGTGGAATGGAATCCAGATATTTCAAATCGAAATGTTTTCAAGTCATTATTAATAGTAAAATATCCGGTAAAATAAAATTAAATATCCTACAGTGAAATATCCAGTTACCCAAATTACGTAACGATGAAGGAGGGGTCATATGAAAGTGAGTATGGTCTCATATTAACTGGCATGGTCTTGCATGGCTTGCACAAAAAGTAACATGTTCATTGAATATCTAATTTAAGAGTTTGTTATTTCCCGATGCTACTTCTTTAGTGTTCTCTTGGATTGGACTAGGCTGTCTCTTGGACCTCAAGGAATCCCTCTACTTCTGATTACTAATTGCATTTCCTCTTACTGCAAATTAATAATTAACTCAAAGTTCTTTATGTCTGTTGAAATTTTTTGTACCTGCGAAGCGGATCCCACGAGACGTAGGTATGGTCTATATATTGATTAGGACGGTACCGATGTATTGGCTACCACCGGTATCGGCCACCGGTGTTACACTATCGGCACCATCAGCCATTATGGCGTCGGTGCCGGTGCCCAGAGGACGGGGAAAGCAAAAAAAAGGATGTGAGGGCATGAACGGCCGGCGCCGGCCCTCCTGTCTCACTAGAAGCCACTCCTGCCGGCCTCTTTCAGACAAAAATATCGATCAGATTATAATCCAGCCGGACTATAGGAACCGGTAGAGGAAAGTAGCGAAAAAAGTGAAATCATTACATCTCCAATCACATTACGCTTTTGAATGAGATGTGTCACTAAATGCTCTCAACAGCAGCAATGTGTAATAAGCTAACCACTGACAGCCATAAAGAGGGAGAGGCAGCAAGGTGGGACAGGGCCGAACGTGGTCTCTATCGTTTCCAGGAAGCCTACTGATAGGCATCACATGGCTTCCAATCAGGCCTATTTGAAATTATGGGCGATTTGTTATACATGCCACAATCGGCACAGGCACCGGGCGATGGTTATGAGGAAAAAATAAGCCATCGGTACAGCCGTGATATTGATATTATGAAGAAATTAAATATGAAAAATCGATATGAGTAGGGAAATTAAACGCGATTACTTTGCTCTTTTGTGGCGGTACAGGGCAGGGAGGCATGTTCGGAAAACATTATGTTCTATTTCTAATTGTCCTTCAGTCGTAAAAGGAGAATGTCCAATATAATGTTACTTTTGTTCTTAAACCGAATTAAATTAATAATATATCATTTAAATGGGTGTCCTTTGCAGAGTAATAAAATATGAATTTTACTTTAATCTGAAGGGTTTGAAAAAATTAAGTTAGGCTACTATGAATTTATTTTGCATGAGTTTTTCGTTAGCATACATACTAACAGTTTTCGAAAGAAGGGAAACGCAGACTACCGAGAAAAAATCTAAATTAAAAAACAATGGAATCGTATTTTTTAAATCCTGCAATGTATCTCCGCATCATTAAGTTTTACATCATGAATCATATATTCAAATTGTTTTGTTACATTTTCATTTCCAAGCTTAGGTTCAATGATTACTCCCAAAATGATTTAGTTTTAGGTTCGTGACGATGCGGAACGCATTTATTGGAAGTCCCATTTGAAAAAGTTGAATAAATTTTACCTAACCTGACCTGACCTACCTTTTTGGAACCCTTCACATTTGCATGAAAATAATACATTTCATGTCCACAAGTGGAATCAATTACATAAATATTAATTTAATCAAAATCGGTTAAAGGCCAATAATGGGCAAACCTAACCCAACCTAACATTTTCAAAATTACTCAGATTTGGAAAATAGATGTATTCGATTTGGCCAAGGACACTCGAAATAAAACCACACATTAAAAATTGGTTTAAATGCCGAACTGGGTCAACTCCTTTTTCTAATCCCAGGATTAGGTAGCATGATTATGAACTAGAATGTCAATTGTTGCGATGACATTACATCTCGCATTTCAGGGAAAGAGAGGAGGAGGAGAGGTGAGAAATGTATACCTCCAGAGAGGAGGGAAATGTATACACCAATTTCAGGTGGTAGACCTTTCAGAATGATATGAAACTGAGAATGACGCGTTCCACGTTCTTTTCCTCAAGACTTACAGGGAAATGAGATTCGAGGACGAATGAGAAAAGAACTGATAGCCTTATCTATGCAGTCGGAGGCGTTGTAAGCCAACATTGTGTCTCACCTGATATGCACCACTTAACGTTTTCCTGATGACCTTTTATTTCGAGACCCACAAGCTTGAGTTCCACGAAGTGCGAACTTTGTCATATACATAGGCAAAGGGTCTCTCAACCCGCTCCACCAATTGTGCAACCCTGAATCCAACTGAATCCAACTTCTGTTGGTTCTTTGGCTGCACATTTCATTTCTGCTCAAATGTCATTCCTCTTAGTACACGTCTCTGGTCGCCAAATCCTGTTCTTCACGATCGAGTCATTTTGACCTACTACCTCCTACTCCCTCCCCTTCAAAGTTTTTGAAAATCCATTGCGAACGAACAGGACATCAACCCCTAGGGCTACGATAATTGTACGATGACCAGGGCCAAAGTTTTTAGGGGTACTTTTCCTCTTGAAATGTAGCAACTCTGGAGCAGCTCGATGACTTTGGCAGATCGCAGGACTCGTCAAACTTTGAAATAATTATGATGGGTTGTAATTGGGATGTCTTTTCGTCGATATGATCGTCATTTGTCGATATGATGACAACTAGGACATTGGAGACTCGCGCAAAAAATATTTAAGGCAACACTTTCGGAGCTCGAAAGAAGCAATTTTTTCTCACTGCACGCGAATGCTGACTCAGGGAGTTGTCCTCCATAACATCGTGCGTCTTCATACCACCCAGCTGTCAGTCTCAAAAACTAGCTGAGTTTCCATGGGAAATTCTTCATCATCACTCTCCGTATAGCTCAGTGAAATTACCATCTTTTCAGATGCCTAGGAAAAATACATCAACGGTAAACATTTCTGCGCACATAGTTCTATATGCTGTCAGAGATTAGCTGCACGGACAGGAATTCATGGAAACGATAGAGGTATGCTCGTACTCCGGTGCGACAAGCGCATTCACATATCATATCTCTTAGCTCCCCGTAGGAGTAATAGTGTTTACCAGATGAAAACTACATAGAGATGCTTCATTGCGCGAGATTCGCCACAGTGGCTACCTATGCACAATCTCGTGTCTATCTGAAGGAACATCTAAGGTTCTCAGTAGGGAGTATTCATGGGAGTATTCATTTCAGTGACCCATCAGAAGGCCACAGGGCAGGATCCCGGATATACCAAAGTTTTATGGAATTACGAACTCTTCCAAGGGACGTCTATATGGTCTCTCATCGACGTGATGATCATCATGGAGGGTTCCACACCACGTGTTCCCTCCAGAATGGTGCATCATGGACGTTGACATGAATTTGAAAGAATACAGATACGAGTACGTGACCTGTGGCGTTGTTACAAATGCGTTGATTGGTCCCGTAACACAAGCCAACAACGAGGCTGTCACAATAGACAATGACTGCTGCTGACATTACTGAGTGAGCATATTTTTATATTAATGTACCAGACTCTAGTGGGAGGGGGGATGAATATATCGCAAGACTTCTTAAATTGTGTCTTTTAATAGGGGATCCCCTAAAACCAGAGTGACTTTGACTTATATCCAAAGAACAGAAGTTCCCATGAGTTATCCAAGTGATTTTTTTCATGATCAAGTTTCTTTCATGTGGATGTCCGCATGTAGATCCATACAAGGGATACCTTAAGTTGTTCGAATACGGGACGCGGTACGCTGGGTTTACTAGAATTACTAGGAAACTAGGCGCCAATGGCATCATATCCAGAGTCATGAATACATTTAAAAAAATCATTGAGTACCTCATACTAATAATAATTCATCATCTAGTCTTATGACATCAAGAGAGACATAATAGTTCCCAAGAGAAAGTCGAAAGACCTCAAGAGGTCTCATGATTCTCGTAGCCCTCATGAGAACGTTGCAAGGCCTCATGGGGAATCACAATTCTCATATGAAAGTCATGAGAACTCGTGTTTATAATTAGTTTTTTTTCCACCATGGTCGTGGATATCCGTCCTAAATTGTGCAAAACTGACGAATTCTATGCATTATCAAAATGAAAACCCAGGTGTGGCGGTTTGCAAAGGACGTTTCGGGACCAATGAGTCACTTCACGTTAAGCAGCTATCGCCTGAAACCTCAAGAGGGTCTGACAGATCGTTGTAAATTTGTTTCTAGTGGACGAGATATTTTAATCTGCATCATGTGAAATATGTTTGGGCGATATGGATGATACCTTAACGACTAGTGTGTTTTCCAATCTCTCTTGCTTCTTACAGGTCTACATTATTTGGAAAATGCTTTGTTTTCATCTTTCTGTTTTAGACATTGACGTTGTTTGTGGCCCCTTACTGACAAGAAGGAATATCAAACCTATTTTAAGAGAAATATTATCTCGTAAAAAAGCAAACTACGTAGAACCACATGCAGCTGATAAAGCATTTGGACCTGAGCGATGGTTTGGAAATGGCGACGGGCCTTGCCTCTTGCATCCGGTGCTAGACGTGAGTCAACGAACGGGTTGTCCAGATATAACGCTTTTTCGCACATATGTGGTGTTTGTGAGTTGGGATATGGATTGGATGAAACAAACTTGAGATAGAGAAAGGTAGGGAAGGCAGGAGAAAATGAGAGGTGAGGAACATAAGTAATTTAAATGGGGATGCCTCTTCTCGCCAAATTCCCTTTTAGATCTTTGGAATGGTGTAATAATCATGAGCGAAAGATACCAGATGCTTTCTATATTGGGTTTGGTATTTTGTAAGAACCACAAGTCCATCTACGGAACAAATCTCATTGTACACTAAGGTTTTACTTCTGGTTTGAAGTTTTTGAACTAACACCTAACAAGACACGTTCTTGACACCCTTTCAAAATTACCGGACTTGAATACAAAAGTTGCAAAAGAATACAAGAATGCAAAAGTTTGCTCTCGGTGAGAAGCTACTGATGATAGAGCCGTTCAATTGCTGGTTTGCTTTGCCATTACATAGGTGTTCCTCTAATTGTCATAATATGGAGTCCGAACTTCAATTGACCTTAGGTGATCTTCGCTCCTCTTGTACTTAGAAATACAAGAGGGTTTTTTCTATTTGCACCATCACACCTACTAGAACAGAGTTCCTTCCTTTTTCATTCGTATTTTCAGTTCCTTTTGTTGCGAAGGGGAACCACCTTATCGTGAACAAACATTAGATAGGTGGATTGCACACGAGCGGATGTACACAAACCCGGCATCACGCCCTTCTCGTTTGCCTCAGTGAGGAAAATCTATATAATAATAGCCGATGTCCTCCATCTATCCGCCAGGGGCTAGAATGGGTCGACTTTTCCGAACCCGACCCAACCGGCCCGGTTCGAGTCGTGGTCCTACCCGACCCGAAGCTCGAGCGGCCAAATCGAGCTTTGCGGATTCCACCTGCGGTTGGTGTAGGGTCGATCGGACCGGCCCGCAGCCCACTCAGGCCTCTACGCCCAGAACTCGGGGTCTCTGGATACGTCCTTTTTCCAAGAGGCTCAGCTGCATCTGCTGAGCTTCCAGCTGATGCTGAAGGCTGACGCTCCCATGACGTCACAATTGTGCTGGACTATTCAGTGCCCTCAAAGTTCGCGACGTTCCATAGTCACCTGCTTGAGTTCATTTAACCCTTTCACGCATGGTGTCCACTCTAGTGGACGACAAAATTTTTGGCGATGATGTTTTTTTAGCCATGGTACACATACCTCGAAACATGTGTATGCAGTCAACTCAAGGGCACATAATCTCTTCAGTGTTGCTTTCTAGCGGTGAAACGTGCTACTACTACTAGCAGAGTACCTTAAACGTTAAACCAAAAAAGGCTTTTCCTCGAAACTTTCTTACTTGAAAGGGTTCATGACGTGAACACAAGAGCTGACGGAACGAGGTGTCTTTTTTGCCAGCAGCTGTGAGCAACTGGAGAAAAATATCCCTCTGATAGTGCATTAACCTGCACCCAACAGGAATTTTGTTTGCCTACCGAGCTGCCTGCCCGATCAGGTTGTTCCATTGAAGCTGAAACCCATGCCGGGCATAGTCCAAAATCGTACCTGATCCAATGCCATGTGTTCTAAAATTCCAACGACGTATTTCACTCGAATGCTACGAGGCAGCACTCATTGAAAATTTGCATACATGCAATTGCAGGTTCCCTTATGTTCCGCATCCCTATTATTGTTCCAACGCGTGACAGATTGGAATACGAACGTTATCACTACAATCCTCTGAGACAGAACTCTTGAAATTTCTCTAAAGGGAAATTGGGAGTCTCTGAGGATGAGAAGGATCTCCTCATCTTCACCTGATAGACATGAGTTCCTAATTCATACAGTATATTGTGTCTCAATGAATATCATAGAACCGAACCTGTTGAAATTTTGCATGTTGGGAAATTCTAGGATTTGGGAAGGGGGGTGGTGTATGACGGGACGCACTCAATATTATTCATTCGAAATATGATTTTTTTAATAATTCCAGCTCCGCGTTTCATGAAAATGCTTTGCGACAAACGTCGCTTAACCTCAAATATGAAAACGTGAGACGTCGCGGAAGTGGAACATCCTTTTAAAGACTCGGGACCACTCCTACATCCCCCTTCTCTAGTTTTCCGGTCTCGTTAACATTTCTAGCCCCTGTTCCGAATGTCTCAAGAAACTACGTAT